GATTTTCATACGTACAGTTGTCATACAAATTAAATACAATAAAATTACTAGTGAGTTAAAACAAGACATAATAATCAAATACAGGCAGAGCAGACTGGAAAGTAGAGAGGAGAGAATTGTGATATACGGATGTGAGCGAAGTACTACAGTTATAATTTTCGATAATCATTGGTATTGAATTTCAATATTAGTGAATGGGCGTCAACATAATAGTCCTCAATCCCAAGTATAGTCAAAAGCAACTTATGAATTTTCCTTTTAAATGCTCTTTTCGTGAGCTTACGCAAGTCAGGGTTTAGACAGTTCCATAACCTCGTACCAAACGCAGAGAAAGACTTTAATTTCACATGCAATCTAGATTTCTCTATATAAAATTCTCTGTGGAAGAAAAACGCGTGTTATATGTATGGATGTCAGACGAATTGATAAAAAGTTCGCGAGTATTCCTAGCTGTAGAGCTAGTAGAAACGTCATGCATTATGGCAGAAATGGTTTCAAAATAGAGCATCCTTTGTAAGAGATGTGATAAATTGTTGTTCTTCAGTGGAAAGTGTATCTGGAATATTCATATGTTCTTCTTCAATGTGGGGAAACCTTGGAAATTGTTCACAATTGAGTGCTTCAATTCTACGTGGCACTGAAATCAAGTCAGCTTTGGCTGAAAAATTAGATTCAGTAAATAAAAGCTGAGAGGATCCAAAGGAACCTATTGGGCATTTACCAAATTTGGTGTCCACCGTGTTTTGTTGTCCAGTATCTGATGCCATTTGAGATAGTCCCGTGTTTGCATAAATTTTACTCAAATCTTGCTTAACCCTTGGGATCCTAAGGGGGTCACTATTTTTTTCGCGAATATTGATGCTAACTAATTAAAGGGATTTCACTGTTCTAATTTAGGTAATAGCATATTCAAAGTATTGTAAGAAAGGTCATAAGAAATAATTTCTGATGGTAACAATCTTCGTCACCTGTGACATCATATATGATGACGTCATTTGACCAAATATAGAGAAACGTTCTCAGAAAGGGTAGAACCCATAAAAACACACTTTTATCATAGAGATTTTTTCAATATTTGAGGAGAAAATGTATTTTAACAAAGAGAACAAGGTATTTACAGCAAGAGAACAAACATTTGTCAATTTCATCAATGAATGCAAATATTAATTTTGGCTTTTCTGTGCAAAACCAAAAAGGTGGTGATCATAAAAAATTACATTTAAATCTCAAATCAATTTCCATTTATGTTGTTTCTCCTGACTTAATTGGATTCAAAATTATCATGTCCTGAAAAAGCAGTTAGATATTTTCATAATGTTTTATTCCTGTGTATTGTGACGCAGTTGTCTTGGTCTTCCTGGCCTAGTCCTCGGTCTTCCACGAGGTTCTGCCAGTCTTCTTGGGCCTTGCCTGCTTTCATCATTGAAGTGGTAGTCCACCATTGTGTGGTACCTCATGAAACATGGATCAGGGCACANTGGTTCACGATATGGTTCCACACTGCATCAGTAAAATATAACTGAAAAAAATCCACTGCTTTCATGTCTTCCTCAATCTCAATTCTAGGACCTGTAGGCTGATTAAAGTCCACGTTATCTCGAATATTTATGTTTCTGCTCCACTCTCTGTTTCCGTTTCGCTCGACACCAGGAAGAGGAACTGTCCTGTTGGCTTCATCCTCTTCCAGAATCAACTCAAAATCGTCGTCTAAATCTTCGTCAAACTCTCTGTGTTCCATAATATTAGCAAGAGGTAAATCATCGTCAACAAACTCGATTTGCACCGAATTCTGAGCAAAAGCAGCATCATTTTGATCCGAAGCGGCCGGCATTTTTAAATAACTAACTGATCTCACACATGTTTTAAAATTTTTGAAATTTATTGCGAAATTGATTGAAAAACTACGATTTTTTACATTCAAATGCGAAATTTAGATTTTGTCCGCCATTTTGAAAAATATCTCGGCCCAATCTCGCTCAGAACGAGAGATAAGAGCAAAGCTTGGGGGCTAGTAATTTTCCGCGCGTATGTGCATGGCTAGGACTCTAAGGGTTTAAATTGTTCAATTTTTTCTTCATTATATACTGCACTTATCCTTGCTTCATAAAGAAGTGACTTCCCTCCTCCATCTTTAGAAGTTCTAGTAGAACTAGTTTCACATTTAGTTCTGTTTACTACCACATTGGAGATGGGCTGTGGAGAAATGTTGGAGGCCTCCTCCTTTTCTGTGCCATTTTTGTAGTTCTGAAGTACAAGCTAGTCACCTTCAGTGTCATCTTTATCTTTACAAAGATCCTTCGTCGACTTACAGTCATACAAAGTATACTTGCAAAGTTTTAGCGTTAAAGCGAAGATGTGATTGCAATATCCAATGGTGCCAGCGACACAACTACAAAATGCATGCATGCAACACTTTACCAAATATAATGCATATGGCAAGCTAAAGGTCATGAGGGGCATCATTCTTTTTAAAACTGTGAGAGCTTTTGGCTTTAAAATAGAACCCTCGTTGTTCACTTGTTGTTATAATTTCGTGAAGATATTGATCTTGAAGAAAAATCTGTGCTTTCCTCAAGTTGGCTGGAACGCTTGTGCCCTTTGTTGGCGATTTTTTTACCAGAATTTACAATGTGCTCGTCCATTTCAGCCTTTCTAAACAGTGGCATTTTCTCAAGAGAAGTACCCCACTTTTCTTCAGGATATTTTACTGATTGAACTTGAGGCTCCCTGGAAAAGTTACTAGTAGTAGACTTGGTCAAAGAAAGTTTTCTTGGCATGTACAGTTGATTTGGATCGATTTGTTTATCTTTGCTATTCTTGATGAATTCTTCAACTCTGTAAAAAAATATTGAACCGTTTTAATTGAACTTACATCAACTACATTAAAGAGTGAAGCTAGATCTTGATTTTCAGGAGGCAGGCATACTATTTCACTAATCGAGCTCTTCGTGTATCTTACCTTTTCACGGGTTCTGCTTTGGTTTTAAGTCCTTTCGCAGAGTCGCCTCGACATTTCAACCAAAATTTAGTTCATGGTTTTTTAATTCTGAAGCATTTCGACCTTTAAGGGAGGCACCAGGAATGTCATCTTCGTTTAAGCTGATATTAGATGTCATTTCTCAGTATTTTCACGATGTAAAGAAGATAAAAAGACACTAAAAACAGTAATAATTACAGCCACGCTGAAGAGAACGCTGTTATTTGGCCTTTGATGCCTCACTTCCATGTTTCTCGTCTCCAGTCCCCCAGCAAACAAGCATACTGTACCACCATTTTCGAAAGCCGTGTCTAGGGATATACATATCAAGATATCACAAGGCGAAAAAGCTTATATAAGTTGTTGTCCGAGATTACTCCCGATGCTGGTTCACAATCAAATGAGGACTGTATATTTCCAAGCTATAAAATGCGTTTATTCGTAGATTCACAGTTCTTTACAATTCCGTTCCGTTCTGATACGTTCTAATTCGTTCTAATTCGTTCTGCCTTAACCTCTTACAACAATGTCTTATATACACAAGGAAATACAAGAATGTTGCGGTTGTAACCGCTAAACTTAGTCTTAACTAGTTACAAGCTTTCTTTGTTTGTTATAATCAAGTACGTGATCTACTTTTAGCCCATATGTGCTACATGCAAATGTCACGCGCAATATGTGACATTACCGCGAGAATTAACGTTGCGTGATACAAAGATTAAAATAAACTATTATTATCGGACACACTCCCCCCCTTGACCTGTCAGGGTCAAGCACAATTTGGTAATCACAGTCAGTCGCACTAATGAAAATATAGCCGATTAGTGATCGAGCATGACTCGTGTTCTCCAACGCGAATCCAGTGCAGCTGCCCGCCGTGGGACTTCCCTCCCCGAAGGGGTTTGTTTGACTGCATTTCCCACCGGGTTTATGTTACCCTCATCAGATTCTCTCGTCACACTACACACCTCTAAAGGATACAATTTCTGCACGGCTCTGTTGACAAAGATGGGTTTTCCCTTAGTGATTANAGGCCATCAAATTAATTCGAATTAATTTGATGGCCTGCTCCCAGTTGGCTTGTTAGCTCAATTGGTAGAGCGCTGCACTAGTATCGCAGAGGTCAGTGGTTCGAATCCCGTACAGGCCCGAAAATTTTTTTCAGGTCTGATTTTCACTATTGCTCAAATAGTGCTTTACTGCGAAGAATCGTTCTCATATACGTAGTATTTATCTCTAGGTAAATTAACATTGTACATTGCTATAGGTCTAATCAAGCTCATGTCAAACCCTAGGGTAAATAAATAAAGGAATAATGCTTGTTTGTATTTGAAAAGCAAACAAAAAATATGTCTGGAAGTTTGCTAGGATCTCAAACAATTGGTTTATATGTACTCTTAATGCATAAAACAGTTCCACAGTGAAAAATACACCTTAAAGTTATGTAACAAGGGATCTTTTCAAGTTTGATAACAAAGCACACACTTTCCAAATTTTGTTTAAGTCCTCTGCCATAGAGTTAGGAGTGATCTGTGCCAAAATGTTGTAATTTTTCACACGCTCAATTGCCCTTTCCACATGGATTCTTACTGAAGCTACTTCACGGGTTTCATCTTCTTCCTCTGGGCTCAGTTGATCTTTGTACCTCATAAATGGTGGGATGTTCAAATACACTTTCCTTTTGGCAAGCAAGTCCTGGATCTCAAAACCTCTATCTGCCATAACAGAGTCTCCTTCCTCCAAAAGTTGTACTATACCACAGTCCTCCACAATTGCCTTGTCACTACAGTGTCCCCCATACAGTTCAGAAACAAAGGTAACAGCTCCATTGGGAGCAATGCCTATTAAACCCTTTGCAGTACTATGACTTTTGTAAGAAGAATATGTGTCTGACTGAGCCCTAAAACATGTTGGTTTTTCTATAAAAAATCTCAGTACAGTCAATGATTACTCTAGTTAATGGGTATTTTTCACAGAAACATTCTGGCATTTTTTTTTTGGATGGTGTTCTTTGAAGCCCATGTCGGTAGCTGTTCTAATCTGGAGTAAATCAAGTTGAGCCAGGTGACAGATATTCTGGATACCTCTGCCACACTAATCTTGTAATTATCAGCCATTACTTTTTCGGGAATATTCACCCTTAGGCCAGCCAAAGTTAACAACAGTTCATCTTTTGGTCCTAATGAGCGTTTCTGTCCTTTTTTTTCTAATTCAGGAAATTGAATACACGAGTTGTTTGAACCCCAGTACCTTAAACGCGAAGAAATCTCTCCAACATTCAGAAATGTAAAAAAAGCGAGAAATTGGCCAGAACTCATTCCGGTATAATAATTCATGTCATCATCTGATCCAATAAATCGATGGAATCCAAATCTCAGGCTTTCTATTTGTTTCTGCAAACCTTCATTTTTGATAGATAACACTTTCATTTCGTTTTGTAATCTTTCAAGTTTCTCCTCCAAATTTGTTGGGTTCACCAGCAACCGAACCAGCACAAGCGGCGGCACCTTGCAATTGTACGTTTATATGGTCAGTTAACTCCTTCCCACCTTCACATATTGTATCGCAATTGTATCCAGAAGAAAGTACTTTGTTAAATGGCCAAATTCCTTGTGGCATATTGGTGGTCATCACTCTCTTCTTAGTTGGAAATTTGTTATCCATGGCTGCTGTGATGGAAAATCAAGAAAAATAATGTTTCTACATTGTAGTGCAAGTAATTTAGCAGAAACAGTTCTCAAACTTTTCAAAAATGGACTCAGAGAACATAATGAGCTTTAGCCCTCTCGCATCCGAGTAGATTATGGAGTAGAAAACGTCTTAATTTGTGATGAGATGGTGGCTCGCTAGGGGGAAGGAAGACAAAGTTTTATTGCTGGCTCATCTACTAGCAATCAGCGTATTGAGAGACTTTGGCGTGACATTTATAGTTGTGTTTGCCATTTCTTCTACTATACATTTTATGCCATGGAGCAAGCTGGGATTCTTGATGTTGAGAATCTAATTCAGTTGTTTGCATTACATTTGGTTTTTACAAGAAGGATAAATATATTGCTCTCAAGGAGTTTTTAGCAATGTTTAACAATCATAAATTGTCTACTGAGAATAACTGGACACCAAATCAGAAATGGTCAAATGGACTCCTACACAAACATCATCCAGTGAGTAGAAACAATGCTGATGATGAACATATCAATGAACAGTTTTATGGTGTGGACTCGGATGGTCCTCTTCCACTGGCAGATGATCAGTAGGGTGTTGTAGTACCCCCTATTGGAGTACCAAATATGGACAACATTAGCAACTATGTAATGCAACAAGTAATTGTTGAGGAACCCTCTCCACAAGCTAGCATTGACATTTACATTAGAGTTTTACAAAATAATTGTTGTCCAAAAACTGGAAGAATAAAGGCAAGCTTTGTAAACATGCAAATTGCATATTTCAGGCCGCATTGGACTATGTCATTTAATAGATTGTGATCAAGTGGCTTGAAATAGGCAAAATAAGCACAGAACCTGAAATGGTCTTGGAAAGTATTCTGTAGTGTTGGTATAGGAAATCGCACGATCTTGAGTACAATTCGTAAATTAATAAGTATGCGATGTTTTAAAAATTCTCAAAATTGGACGAGCCTGTTAATGCGTTAGGTCCAATTTGAGAATTTTTAAAACATATTGAGTACCTATCTATTACGAATTATTGTGACTGGTATTTCATTGATAAAATCTTAGGAAATTCATATAATTATATTTCTTTGAAATAAAAGCTAGCGCTAAGAAGTCACGACGTTTCGACCTCTCTGAGGTCATTTTCAAGTGAGTAAGTTTTCCAAATCAGCCTAAATATGTTGAAGCAAGTTGAAGACGATAAAATGTGGTGAACGCTAAAATATGTGAAAAGTGTAAACAATATACAATGGCAGAGAATAAAATAATAAAATAATCGTAGCATGAATTGTTCTAAACAAATAGTTTCGCGCGAATTGAATAGCACTGTTTGTTTAGCGTTGGTTTCAGATGACGTATCGTCACTGTTTACCAACGTTCCTGTGGATGCAACTATCGAGAGCATCACAGAGAGAGCCTTTGAAAACGACTGGTTCAACAGAGAATACGATCTTAACATCACGAAGTCAGATTTGATGGAGCTGGTGAGAATCGCCACCAAAAGTCAGCTATTTCAGTTCTAAGTTAAGTTGTACGAACAAGTGGACAGTGTAGCAATGGGATCGCCACTGGGTCCCCTTATGGTAAACGCCTTCATGTGTAGAATTGAGAGACAGCTAGAAAGAGAGAACAAGATGCCTATCTTCTATAAGCGCTTTGTAGATGATACACTTAGTGTAATGCCTGATCCGGAAGCAGCCGTAGAATTTCTGGAGACATTGAACAAGTCTCATCCCTCTATTGATTTCACAATGGAACTCCAAGAAAATGGTAGGCTTCCCTTTCTCGGAATGGATGTTATCAGGAATGGTCTCCGTCTAGACACCATGGTCTACAGAAAACCGACGGACAAAGGGCTTTTGCTACACTATCACAGTCACGTATACACCAGATACAAACGGTCACTGCTGATACCCATGCTAAACCGTGCGTTCCAACTCTCGTCTACCTGGAAGCTTTTTCATGAGGAATGTGAACGCCTTAAAGAGATCTCCCGACTGCGCTAACCTGACGACCTTGTGCAGGCAACCATTCGCAGATTCGTTGAATCAAAAGTGTCTGAGGATTCACATACCCAACTGACTGATAAAAGAGAAGCCCCAGTCAGAATCGTGTTGCCC